AAATACGAATACACTTAGTGACCATTTAATTATATATATATCAATATTTTGAAAGCTGAAAAGAGCCAATAAATTAAAATAAAGGATGGAAGTAAGACAAGACCCTGAAATTATAGACCAACAACATACACATAATCTCCGTACTAGGAGAGGTTTAATCTGGATACCATAGGGACGACTGAATACCTAAATATATCTCTATCGGGTTCCATCAATCAGATGCGAAAATATAGCCAATCTGGGACTGTACATAGTTTACGTGACAGATTTTCGGGTAGCTAGCAAAGAATGCGTTTTTGAATAACTACCGGTACACTCCATAACTTAGTCAACAACGCAATCAATCAATCGATCTTGGTATATCGAATTTGACTTAAATTATAAGGCAACTATTTATACTCAATCCTCATGAGGATTCATTAGAGTTTAGACAACATATAGTGGTGAGCCAACAAAGCATTTGACGCCATGAAATGACTTTCTCTGATAGATATTATGGTCTCCAAAATTTTTGTATCATTCAATAAATAAGGAATGATACAGTTATTTAATTTTCAAGAATGTAACATATTTTTATAAAACAAAGGTCATCTTTATAAAAAAAGTAAACAAAAACCTTGAAAAAGACGTCCAACTAACTTTTAACTTCAATCAACCCTCTAGTTTTTTAAACGCCCTGTTTAATATTCCTCTCATGAAATTTGTTTGTGTTTTATTTTTTGTTCTTTTTCACATTAATATTTACTTTTAATACATGGAGGGATAGGAAAGTCATAACTTCTACTAGAAATAGTCCAAAATATATGCAATAAAGATAACAATAATAAAAAACTATAGCTATTTACATTTTTCTGTAGATTTCATTTCACAATATTCACATAAAAAACAAATGTCACTCATCGTTTGTAACATAAAAGTAGACTTTTATTAGACCTATTTGTCATCGAACAGAACTCGCACACAATGAATTGGAAAAAATAGAAACTATTTGTTCCGAGCGAGCTTTTGAAAGCATTTCAATCTAGTTATTGACCTTAATCTGATTTGACGTAACAGACACATAAAAATATGAAGATAAATTTGTAAAATTATTTTTATAATCAATTTAACAGTTATACGTATGATAATTCCACATATTATTTGAAAACTCCACTAGCTAAAGCTTAGTTGTAAACAGACTTTAGAGATTTTTGTGTTCAAAAGAACTCGAAAACTTCATAATATGATACATATATTTTTACAAATACAAGACAAGGTTAGAATATTCTTAATAAAAATAAAATATTTAAATACACTTCCAATATGAACAATTTTGTTAACAAACGCGATGTAAGCCTTGTTAATAATGAAACTTTTACTATGAGCACGGTCTGAAATATATTGTTAAATAAACCAAGGATTTAACTGTTTGTTCAAAGGATATATGTACTTTTTGGTACAAAGAAACTACAGCGAATGCAGCTCACACTACTGGCGATAGCATATTTTCAAATATCATTATATTTTTTTATTACATCCATATTAACTTCTTGTGTAACTTTATAAAATTTCATTTCTTTGAAAATATAAAATTATATTTATGAGAGGAAAAATAGTTTATAAATGTATATACATTCTTGACGGTTAGAATTAGTTTAGCCTATGAATGATGATAAATATATGAAGTTACTGAAAACCTAGGAAATTTTTGAATACATATATAATATTCCAACACAAACAGTGTGAGCTACCTTGCCTATAACAGATAACGAAAATGTTTTAAGGAATCCTCTCAAATAAACTGTTTAATTCTCGGCTTATTTTACAATTTATTTAACTGTTTTCACAGCCAAAGTTTTAATACTATGTAGATTATATCGCTGGCTGGATGGCTTTCATTTCGTGTTTCAATAATAATTATCTTTTATTCTGAAAGTGAACTTCATGTTATGTATGAGTATTAGTAGAATGTTATGTATTTAAATGTAGATAATGTTGTGGAGCTGTGAGGAGTAATTCTTTGTTGTTCTTTTAACACACTTTATACATTTGATTTGATTAACAAGTCTGATGTTCACGTGAACGAAATCGTGCAAGAAAGCTAGTGTATATGTATAAGTCATTAAAATTATGATTCATTAAAAGAGTTGTTAAACATATTGGATGTCAATATAACTTACATTCTGTATTTCGCACTAAGTAAGTTTATTATTTATATCATAATTATAATCTTCTTTTTCTATTTGTTTAAATTACTGTATTTTTTTATGGATATGAAATTGTTTAAGGATATTTTGTTCACTCTTTCTTTGAATACGTCAATAATGTATTAAATACATTGTTTTATCTCTTCAATTTAAATTTTACTTTTTTTTCGTAATAAAATGTTCTTTATTTAATAAAACAACATCATAATGTAGCTGTAGGTAAATCAATATTGAATGTGAGAAAACAGATAGATATATTTAAATAATAATATTTATAGAAATTATATAATGTTTGTGATATTAACAAATTCTATTATTTAGTTAGAAAACAGTTTCAATAATATATAGTTGTTTCTTTTTGTTAATTATTATGGGAATGTGAATAACGTATTTGAATGCATGTAGTTATTAATTATTTTTAGTTGATGTTTAACTAATGAATATTATGTATTTACATATATTTAGAATATAAGGATTAATGAATTACATATTTCATAATTAATTAGTATACAGATGTACATACTTCATACATGTACTTACGTAAAGTCGTTTGTATTGCCATTGAAATTCATAATTTCTACCAGTCATTATTTATTATATATTTTTTGAATGATGAAAAAGCTTTAAATTGTATATACCTTTGTTTCTCAATATTAATCTTATGATGTTTTTGAGATCTTTGATATAACTGATAAATTAACATAAAGCTACAAAGGAAATTGAGTTATGTTTTGACTAGTGAACTAAAGGCTTAATCTATAATAATATATGTTTGGTGATATTGAATAGTTAAGAATAGAGCCTACTATTATTATTAATTAGATGTGGATAAATGTATGAATGTTTGTTTTTCTATAACGCAAAATTTACATATTCGATTTTGATGAAAATTTCCATTGATATACATATATGAGACATTAGAATAACATACAAATATAATTTATTTGAAAAATTCAATGTACTTATAGCTCTGCCTAAAATTATATTATGTCCTAATAATTAATAATTTAAAACGTATTTAGACACTTGTAACTATTTACTTTCCTATTATTATCTAACACAATATGTAATTCATTCAAAAAATATTATAATTAAAACAAACTCTGTCATACTCTCATTTGTTTTTGGTATTTTATTATATTTATTTAAATATGTCTCACACTGATTCATATGTTTAAGAAGGATATGGGTGAACATATGTATGACGTCTGATAGAAGTTAATGGGAAAATAAGAGAGAGATGATAAGAAGATATGTACTTATAATATGTATAAATCTATTATTACTAATATTATTATCATTACATTATTTAATTTTCTAATGTATAATCAGAAAATCTAAAATAAAATCCCATGATCAAATAAATTGGGAGTATAAAGAGTAGAAAAATATTTATGATGGTATATTAATCTTATATTTATTCAGTATTCTATTAAGTCTGAACTCTAAATTCTTTTTTCAAGTTGAATCGTTTATAGTAAGCTTACTTATTTATTATTCTCAGCCTTGTAATAAATATAAGCACCCGACCAGTGTTATTGTTACTGTGTGTTAGTTCAATATATTGACATAAAGGTATGATTATATATAAATTTTAATGAGATCTAAGATTTTGTCAAGTCCTCATTTAAATGAGACTAATATTTTCGGATTTACTACGCGTTTTAATATTTGACTATAAACTTCATACTCTCGACGTTTCGGCTACTTTACAGCAACCGTGATCACGGACAGACGAGACGAGATGACGAGAGATCTCGATCTCGAGATACAACATTACGAATTTTCACTTCTTCTACAAGGAGAGACTCATCATTTTTTTAATTCTTTGATCACAATTTTCATACGAACAGAACATAAGAGGAGACATCTACAACAAGGGTTTTACTTTAAATATCTCTATTTACCTGTCAATACGAAAATAATGTTCACATACATACAGGACTGATCGAAATGTATTATCAAAATAATCTAATCGAACTAAAGCTTCTAGTTTGAATTGAGTATTATTTACATGTCATGAATAACAAACAAATTCTAAACATTAATAATTATATATAACAAATGATTTGGCTTGCGTTTCAATTTGAAACGTGTAAAACATATATGAAGTTAATTTACACCAACATTAATTGAACTCCTTCAAAATATTTATATTGCATTAAAAGGTATAATCTTATATAAAGAAAAGTTTTTCTATTTTTTCGCGAGATAAATCAATCATCAATCAATTAGTTGATTACAGTGAAGTATTTAATCTGAAAAATATTAGTAACTATTAAAATTTTGAAAAACCTTATAAAATGACTTATGTATGTACTAAAAAAATACCAATTCGAATTAAAATCTCTCGTTTTTAAATAAAAGTAATTATTATAGGTATCAAATAAATCAAAGAAAAAGAATTTGATTTCTTTTGATTTTATAAATATATATTTCGATTTTCTGTAGAGCTTTTCCCTCATTAAGATCTCCATTCTCTTTGCGGCGAAGATCTCAGGCAAGTATATTTGTACATTATGTTTGCGGTCAGATATCATTACTTTTTGTAATGAAAACGTCTCAGGTATTGAGATTTAATGTTCATTAAATGTTAGAGATAATAAACAAATTACAAACAAATTAATGACAAAGTAATCCGAAAGAACTACAAAAAATTAGGTTTTGAAAGAAACAATGTACCTAAGTAAGAGAGACGAAACTACTAAGCATTCCATGGATTCACCGTGCGGGTGCCGGGTCCATCGCGTTGCAGGGAGAGGAGCTTCAACAGTGCCTGGGACTTGCGACCCAAGTGTAGGTTTAAGGGGCCCCTTAACTAACGCGCGTTATACGCTCACCTCCACTGTCCAAGCTCCTCTCCCTACCTAACCAAATTTGAAAAGAACCTACTAGGGCTGCCTTCGATATACGTTCCAAGAATGCATTAATGTGAGTTCTGGACAAGCCCAAGTCCTTTAGTAGGTTGTAGAGAGATTTCGCTGTTATACCTCTCGCTCCCACCTCTACCGCGTACAAATCTACTACGAACCTATTTCGAGTGAGTTCGTTTGTGAGCTCGTAATATTTGTTGACCTTGATGGTATGGTCTTTGGGGATGTTGGTTTCCCAAGGGACCGTAAGCTCTATCATCACTACGCGCTTTAGAATTCGCGAAAACAAAAATATATCTGGTCTGGAGACCGACGCACAAATATCCTCGGGGATTTTATATTGCTTTTCATACGTGTCCATCATTATAGTCCAATCCGACGCCGCTTTAAGGATGGAGTAAGGCTTGACGTTTGATTTTGTAGCCCTAGTGCCTTCTCTCACAAAACCTACTGATCGTTCGTTTGTGGTTATTTCCTTTTGCGCTCTAGCTACCGAAAGACTAACCGCTTCACGTATGACTTCTAGAACCCTATCGTGACGACGCGAGTATTGACCGCTGTCCAGGAGTACCTTACATCCCACCAGCAGATGCTTAGCAGTTCCAACTGCCTTTCCACAGATATAGCAAGTTTTTTCGGTACTTTTACCCCATCTTACTAAATTACTCTGATCTGGGAGAGTCATCTGGAACGCATTGAGATAGAATTTTAGCAATGCTGGCGACCAATCATAAATTAAAGTGCGCCATTTTAATGCTAATGGGATGCAAAAATCTCCTATGTCTAACCACTCGTTCTGCATTTCTAAATTCATTGCATGGATCTTATATTTATCATTCTCGTCTTGCCGAATAAAAGACTTCAATATATCCGCATCTTGGACTTTCCTATTTGATCCTAACCCCGCTCTGTTACTTTGTGCTCCTATCATAAATTGCTTATGGAATTGAAGTCGTGACTCTAGCTCGGGGCCATCTTCATCTTTTGGGAGCGATGTCACTATGTCATCATGGGATTTCCCCAGGATATATCTCTTGGAAACTCTTAGGTGTTTATAGAGCTCCGATGGCCTTTTTAGACTCATCCCAAAACTATTGCTTCCCCTAAATAACGCCGATGAATCAGCCGTTAGAGCGAGCCCGAGCCACAACTTCAACATCTTTATGACGCCTGCATCTAACTTTGACAAAAGGGTTTTATTAAAATCATAGACGAGGAAAGGCCAATTCAAACGTGAAGTTAAGTAATTCTCGTAAATCCATGCTTTTTTGACGTTACTTATCAGTTGGCTATATCTACCTTGTTAAGATCGTTCAAAAAGCTATCTACTATTCCTTCTAAAGATGGAGTACGGCCTATATTATCAATCTTACGACCGAGAAATTTAAATGGTGCATTTTCCGTAACCGTAGAAATGCATTGACCGCCTAACGATAGTCCCGGATCGTATGAGGTGTATCTTGTATTCCGCCTACCAAGACACAGACAATGACATTTACTGGGTTTTGTCCTCAATCCATCCGTCCACTCACAGAATTTATCCACTTCATCCAATAGTACTTGACAGTGTTTGGGGTTACGTGTCAGTATTGCGAGATCGTCAGCGAAGGCTAAAATGGATTCCGTGTATTTATTATTAAACTTAAACCGATAACCCCATTTTTTCTCGTTACAGATTAATTTGTCTACTAAGATGTTAATAACGATATTAAACGTAATTGGAGATAGACAACAACCTTGAAACAGTTTAATAACACAAATGCCGTCGAAGTAATGAAATAAAAAGATATAATTTAATCTGGACTATTGCATATATAACTCAAATAAATGTCGAACGTCGCAGCATAAAACGTAATCTAATAGGTAGATGTCCTAGGCTTAGAGCATACTTTGGTTGTCCCAAGTACAAGTTCAAGACGCGAGCGGTGTTGTATTTAATTGTATATTTTTGTTTATAGGTAAAAATCTGTATTATTACTACTAATGTACAAATAACTGTTACATTTGTAATTCCTTATTGTTTTGCCTTATACAATTTAGTTTAAACGTAGCTACTTGGTCCCGCAAAACCCGGTTTAAAGACCACTGCTCTAATAACCACACACCCGAAACAAGAAAAATCTCGGAGTATCGTCTATCGTCGTCTATCTAAATCAAAAGGTAGCTCTGCATACTTTGCTTCTATATTTGAGGAAGAAAATTATCAAATGAACCCTCTTGCTTTGGGTGGAGCAAAAGAGAGTGTAAGACTCCTACTGACTAAAAACCCCTCGTACCTACTCCTGCTCCGAGCCTGGCCGCGGTACATCATTGCGCTTGTATCCGCGACCCGGCTTCACATCCGCTCTAGGGCCCTTTCTGTGGTGGTCTGATGTCTCTTTGAAGCGCTCGATACGCTACGCGCCGTTTAATTAAATAACATACAGGAACCCGACGAACTTAGTATAACAAGTGGGTAACTACATATTTCGGCGGCAAATGTTACGGTTGTCCACAAAGGAAAGAGGTCCTTGTGATGCCATTTGACAACATTAACTCACTACAACAATCAAGTTTATAAATCACTATATCATAGACGATATAGCCCTTTTAAAGCAGAACAGAAACTTTTTTTCTATTTTATTTAACATGTTTTAACACAGTATTATGACTGTAAATACTATTGTCCAGTGAGTAATAATATTTATACTATTAAGTCCTTTATAACTTAATGTTTGCTCTGCATTTAGTAGAGAATTGCTACGTACTTATGTTCAACTTAACAGCTTTATTTGTGTGTTTAGTAAGTTTCTTGAAGTCAAAACCTAAATCTTCAAGTACTATTTCCATTTAGTAACTTTATGTCGGTTGTAATAAAATGCTCTCTTTATTCTGTGACATAGTTTGAGGTCATGTTCCTTAATATATCAATTAAGAAGTTCAGTTTCTGTTGGCACTGATAAATATTTAAGAAATATGATCTATTGTTTAGTAATTTGTTATGTTGTTATTATTCTATATGCTCATTTTGTCTGCCCGTGATCACAGTTTCGGCAAAATAACCAAAACAGAGGGAGTATGTAGTTTTTATAAAATAAAATATAACTCATAGAAATCCCAAAAAAACAGTTTTATTTAAATGATATTCGCGAAAGTCTGAGACCTCATTATATGTTTTCATTAGTCAAGTATTATATGATCTGAACCTTAAATTACATTTTAATATAGAAAATTAATGATATGTCAACTGTAATGTTAATGATATGAAATGATAAGCTTTACAAAAGTAGTTTGGGACTTTGAAATAAGAATATAAACTGTATACTGTATAGTCCTACAACAACCGCTCCCTAGCGTGGCTGTGGGTTTTCTTTTATGGTATGGTTGGAAAAATGTAAAATAAAATCGCAGGTCGTATCCAACCAATTAAGTGCAACTGAAGAGTGGATTGTAATGTTAACGTATTTATTATGTTTTAGTTTATTAAACAATGTTCTTAAAAACCATAACTTGAAAATACTTGTGATAAATAATACAATTATATCCTTTAAAAAGTTACATACCTGGTAATTCCGACATATTTTGAAAACTTAAATACAACCATATTGTTAATAATATATTTGTGTAAGGTTCATACAAGAATCATACACAATATTAAATATAATTTTATTAAAATTTAAAGTATTAGTTTTATTTAAGTGAAGGAATTTTAAAATATATTGAGTACTTGTAGAAGAATTTTAATAAACTCATCAATTACTAAAACAATGAAAACTTGAGCATTTTACTCAGCTTTTCCTATGTGATTGATTTCCACCCAAATGATCAAATGATAGCGAAGGCTCTTTTTTCACGCTTTATACTTTCTGTTGCAGACATATTTTATATCCACCCATACTTTTAATAATTTTATTTTTTACCCTAATTTTCTTAACGACATATGAGGTTCACAATTTCAAGCTAATTTGCAAAATGTTACAATGAATAAGCCAATGCCTATTAATATTTATTGTATAAGCTTTGCTCTTCATCACTTATTAAAGATAGTATCTCGTTAATTCTCGATATTTTTAGATTTTCTAGGAGAACCGTTCAAAACAAGATATTAACTTGGTGGAAATTACTTACTTGCTATTAAAGTCTGAAAAAATGAAATGCAATTTATAAAAAGGAATAAAGTAGACATTATAAAAAAATAACTCTAAAACAAAAACATTTAATAAACTAAATATTTTTATAATTTAGTTTGTTCTTAAAGCATTAATTAAATTTGACCCATAAGTCAAAAATACTGTAAGGACTTTCATATTAATCAGTGACTTAAAATTAATCCGGCTTTCGATTTAAATTAACTATTCGAAATATAACCTAAAATTAATATTACTATATTTTGACATTTCAGATTTCACAAGAATTTATATAGTTATAAGTATAATATTATATAAGTCATTTAAATGTTACTCTAAAAAAATTACTTAAATAAACTTACTTAATATACTGAAGACTGTAACAGATATTGTTCATACAAATCGATACCTCCTACGCAAGTTGTTGTAAGCCACAAAAATGCTATTTTGCTTTTTTTATGAAAAATATCCTATTATAGATCATTACATCAATTCAAATTAAAAAAACAACAAAAACGCTATTTTTAAAGGTTTTTTCAGACGTATAATGTTGTAATTTTCAAAAGCGAACGGATTAAACTGATGTATATGCCTATGCAATTGTTTATGCGGGGCGCGAGGTGGGTAAAATCACGCGCTCACGCTGTGTATGAGTTACATACAACATCATATACCACAAGTGATGCTACCTGGGCGCCGCGGTATAATGTTGTAAGTATCAGATACAACATCTTTTTTAGCTTCTACTCCGGAATATAATGTCGAATGAACAATATAACAACCATATCTCCGCAAATAGGCATATTATTTAAAATATCTTTTAACGTAGTTAAGAAGACTATTATGTTAAATTTAAATACGAAATTTTAAAAGGATGCATTAATAAATGCAGATTTTAGTTTAATTTGAATCTTTGAAACTCTCTACTATAAAATTACAGTTTTGGAGATACGACAACTTACGTAGGAGGTATCGAAATGTGTTTTTACTTTTTCCAAATTAAACTTATCGCTTATGATTTATTACAAACAATAGCAGGTTCATTTAAATACACGTTCTATAATTTACAGATTATAAGGTAATAGAAATCAAACGATATTTATCTGGTTCTGCACGACTTCCTTTCTTTGGTGTATGTATTGCGTTGGCAAACTTCAAAGTAGTAATAATATTTTTTTAGGTTTTGGCTGAACCAAAAAAATACAAATTTAAAAGAAAATAGCAAATTCCGATACTGTTGTGGTCTTTTCCTTTTCGTCTATTATAATGTGTTATTATTAGAGAATATATTTTATATATACTGGTTGTATCGTAATTTTGTTAATACAAATACGTTAGGTATAATTTGTCCCTGAAAATTTTTATCATGTTTTGGTAGACGCTATACTGCGTTAGATTATTATCATATGTTAAAATCGTGAGTCCATCCACATACCATAGGAAGTAATTAGGATGGGACAACTGTACAAAAATGTTTAATAATTTATAAAAAAATATCACATTATTTAAGAAAAACGAAATATGTTCCTTATGCAACTATATCTATATTAAATACTAGTTTTTGCCCGCGACTTCGTCCGCTTTAGTTTGGTCAAAAGTAATATATGTAGGTATAGCTGACCAGACGAACTCTATTCCGTCTTAGAGGCCATAAATAATCAGGTTTTTCCTGTTTCAATCAAACAGAATGATTGACATATTAGTTAGTTGTCAAATCTAATGTCAAAAAAAACTTTTGTATGGGAGATAGAAAAGAGCTGTTTTTAGGGTTTTCCCGGCAATTATTCAAATTATTCTCACCTTTTAAACTTTCCCTGGACTTCCAGAAGTATTTCAAGACTAAAATTAGCCAAATCGGTTCAGCCGTTCTCGAGGTTTAGCGAGACTAGGGAACAGCAATCCATTTTTATATATATAGAAGATATGTTATTTCTTATTCGGACTTTAAAATGAAGTGAAATATAGACTTCATGATGAGTAATTTAAATTTTAATTCTACACTCTCTTTTATTACGAGCTATATGAAATTAACTACATTCATATGTGTAAAGAA